GCCAAGCAAGGGCTCCTTCCAGCTCTGGCGGCTTAGGGAGGGCAGAGTCCTCCAAGTCCACTTGGCATCCGTGGGCCTGCCCTTTACACGGGGTGAGGTCCTTAGTGGCCACCAACACAGCCCCAAGCTTCTCTGTCGGGCTGCAGCTGGCTCAGCTCCAAGGGGACAGGGGAGAAGGGGAGGGAGGGTGAGGAGTGGAGGGTGGGGGCCGCAGGGCTGTCAAGTCCCCGTATATCGCACCAGCTCGTGCACCTGAGTGAACTTCATCTAGTGATTTGTCCTGTTTTACAAAGCCAAGAATCCAGGACTCTGAAAGATCACCAGGCAGTTCCAAAACCAGGGTCCAGGGCAAGACCCACCTTTCTTCATTCTCTTCCTGGTTAGAAGAGCCATGAAGCTCCTTGGGGGGGGGGGGGGCAGATGGTGTCTGCCGGAGGAGACTGCAGTGAGAACAGATGGCTTCTCTCTGCCCTCCTAAGTTCTTGGTCGGTCCACCAATTAAACTGTCATTAGACAGATTAAGAGGAGGAAGACCGGGGCTGGAGCGATTAAGCCCCTCCTGAGTTAGAGGACCCGAGTTGACTCCTAGCGCCCATACCAGGCAGTGTAAAACTGCCTCTAATTCTAGCTCCTGGGGAACCCATCGTCCTCTTCTGGCCTGCTTGGGTACGTGAGGCAAATACAATCAGGCACACATACATACACATAAATAAATGTTTTTAAAGGAGAAACTGGAGGTGTAGCTCAGAAGAGTGCTTGCCTAGTGTGTACAAGGCCCTGGGTTCAATCCCCAGCACTTGAGAGGCAGAGGTGGGTGGATCCCTTGAGTTTGAGGTCTTCTGGCCACAAAGTATGTTTAAGTCCAGCCTGGGGTGCATGAGACCTCCCCTTGAAAAAAAAAAAAAACTGCCTTGAAAAAGAAAAACTGCCAGGTGTGGTGGTGCATGTAATCCCAGCACTTGGGAGACAGAGGCAGGTGCATCTCTGTGAGTTCGAGGTCAGTCTATTCTATATAGTGAGTTCTAGGGCAGCCAAGGCTATGTAGAGAGACCCTGCCTCAAACAAACAAACAGACAGACAAACAAAAGGAGAAAAACTGTAAATCCTTACAAACAGTTGGTGCTACAGAAAAGAATACCAGCTCTCGGCTCCTGGGATGGAAGGATGGTGTGGACAAATTTAGGAAGCTGAATAGAGGAGCTTCGTGGTGAATCGAGGTTGTCTTGTTAGATACAGAAGCCGGACATGGAGGCTCACAGCTGTACTCGCAGCACGACAGAGGCAGGGTTGTGAGTTCCAGGTCAGCCTGGGCTAGATAACAAGACCCCGTGTCAGAAACTAGAAACAGGGCTGTCCAGCGTGGTCCCCGAGTCAGGAGGCTCCCCTCTTGCTGTTCCCAGGGCCTCAGTTCAAAGAAGCCCTCACAGTCACTGTAATATGTCGGGATGGCGTTCCCAAGCCCCTTCAAGACCTCGGGGGACTCTGGACTGGGCACCAGTCCCTATATGCTCAGGGCTTGCTATTTTTCTGGGAGTGACAAGACAGGTCACATGACCCAGAGATGCTGGCACTCGGCAAAAGGGCAACTGGGAAAAGGAAAAGGCCGAGAGAGGAGGCGGTGTGATTAATTATTTGTGGAGGGTGAGCAGAGAGACCTTGAAGATAGTGCGTGACCCCCAAACCAGCCAGTTACAGCGGAGGAGAATGAGGGGGGTCCCAGGACATGGTGATGGCAGCAAGGCTAGGGTCTCAGCCCGAAGGAGTGGCAGGACCGATCCTGAGGCTGAGTCTACCTCTTGCTGCGGAGAACTGGAGACAAATGTGTGGGCTAGAAGGTCCCTCTGGGGCAGAGTGAAGAGGTGCCCAGGAGGGCTGTCGCAACCGTGGAGAGGAAAGGTGACAGGGCCAGGGGTGGCGGCTGGAGACGGGGTGAACTCCCACTCCCCCTGGGTAGCCCCAGGACCCTACAGACTTGGGGACTTGCAGGCAGCAGATAGCTGAAGGAAGTTAAGTTGTCCAAGGCTAGCGAATCCAGGAAATAGGTACACCCAGGGAAATTTGGTTTCATTTCGGCCCTGGCCTGGTGCCCAGAGTGCTCACTCCTTGGCATTTGAACAGCGTGGCTTGCATGCCAAATCCATAGGTCTGTCAAATGTGAGGACTCATGTATATGTGTCTACATGATGAACCCAAGAGGCGGACAGAGTTCAGTGGGTACACCCCCTCCCCGGGGCCAACTCCTTACGCGAGTCTAGTCTCTTTCGATGTGAGGCAAAATTGGGGTAAGAGGAAAGAGGCCTCTGATCCCCCCCCACCTCTGTCCAGCCCACCTTCTCTCTAAGGCCTCAGAAAGGCAGACCCTTTGGGGCCCTCCAGCACTGAGGTGTACTTTGGGGGAGGCAGATCATGTCCCCCGCTCTGTACCCCAAGTGTTCCATCAGAGAGGGCTGAGCCGAGGACATCCAAGAGTTCAATGACATGTCCTAGGCCTTAGCCTTGCAAACACACAGAGGACGGGGTCAGGGTCCTAGGGGAAGAGGAGGTACTGGCTTAGGACTGAGCCTACTTCCCTCCAGGGTCAACTGGTCCCGTCTGCCTTGCCGTTCCCCATCAAGGTTACCAGGGTAACAACACGCAAGGGCTCAAAGCTAGGCAGTGTCCGTCAGGCCAGCTCTCCAGAGGCGGGAGCGTGGTCTCAGCAGTCTGGAGTCTCTAGCCGGTGCAGAAGGTGGAGACAAGCAGCCTGCCCCTGACCTTCCCTTGCTTCCCCAAAGGACACATCTCTTCAGGCTGTCCTCTGCCTCTTCTCTAGCCCCTCAGCTCCACAGCCCAGCCACGATCCTCACCCGAGGCCAGCTCTAAGAGTGTTCTGTTCAACCAGGAGCCTCCACCCTCTCTCCTGTGTTCATTCTTGACATCTCTGGGCTCCAGAGAGGAGGGGTCTATGATCCAGTCCTTCCTCCTGGGATGCCTGAGCCACAACCACCATCCCTCTCCACTGCAAGGGGAAGAACAACGGGAGGGCGGGAAGAAACCAGAGGACCGTGGATAAGTTACTGCATTTGTAAAGGAGAAAGGGACCCAGGAAGGGGGAGAGGGGGGCTCGGGTCCCACTGAACCCGAGTCACCCTCAACACTTACAGGTAGGGCAGGAGAGGGGACTCCAGGGGCAAAGCCCTTGCTGTACAAGAAGAGAACCTGAGTTCAATCCCCAGAACTAATGTAAAGGGAGAGAGAGAGACGCTGACTTCACAAGGTTGTCTGTCCTCTGACCTCCCCCTACATGCAAATGCATACACATCACACAACAACAATAACAATTAGTAAGTATTTACAGAGCTAGGGCACATACAATCCCAGTATTTATAACGTGGAAAACTGAGGATCAGGAGTTCAAATCCATCCTCTGCTACAAAATGAGTTCAAGGGCAGCCTGCCCTACAGGAGACCCTTTCTCAAACAAAAAAGATTCAGAGTTTAGCTGGACCTCTTCTCTCCTCAAGAATGTTCTTTAGCTGGGGTGGCGGTGACGCAAGTCTTTAATCCCAGCACTTGGGAGGCAGAGGCAGATGGATCTCTGTGAGTTTGAGGCCAGCTTGGTCTACAGAGTGAGTTCCAGGACAGGCTCCAAAGCTACACAGAGAAACCCTGTCTCAAAAAAACAAAAAACAAAACAATAACAAAACAACAACAAGTGTGCCACCACCATCTGGCTTGTTTTGTTGTTTAAATGAAGTAAGTTTTGCATGATACATTACCATTTGAATTTGGGGTACTGGGAATTGAACCCAGGGCTGCAGGTGCACTCTGAGTGCTCTACCATTGAGCCACACCCAGCCCCCTGAGACATTTTAAAAAGAATGGCAGAAAGTGCTGCAACCCCTGCCTGACACCAAGATGAAACCCCACAACTAGTAAGGAATCACCCTCACTTCTCCTTCCTCGAAGCACAAATCTACAGGCTGTCCATAAGGGTTTACCTAATTCACATGTGTGAAGTCACTCCACACGTGGCCTTTTGTGAGTGAGTTCTTTGATTTAGCATGGCTTTTTAGAGGTTTATCTGAGTTGTAGCACAGGATGGCACTTATCCCTTTTCTGTGGTAAGTAATATTCCTCTGTATGGGTGGACCACACTATCCCTTATCCATGGAGAGTTTGATCTGTTTCCTTCTTTTGACTACTATGCACAGTATTATGAATCTCTGAGTACAAGTACCTGTTGACATACCTGATTTCAGTTTCTTTGGCCATACACCCAGGAATGGAAGTGCTAGGTAATATCCTAAAATCCGTGTTTAACTTACTTTTTTTCCCCTAAATCTTAAAAATGAAAGGAGGCCAGGCGGTGGCGTGTGCCTTTAATCCCAGCACTCGGGCGGCAGAGGCAAGTGGATCTCTGAGTTAGAGGCCAGCCTGGTCTACAGAGAGAGTTTCTGGACAGCCAGGGCTACACAGAGAAACCCTGTCTCGAAGTGGAAGTGCACACACAAGTGTATGTGTGTGCCTGCGTGAGTAAATGTGCACCGCGTGAGTGCAATGCCCCCAGAGGCCAGGGCGGGGGCATTGGATCCCAGGGAAATGGAGTTGCAGAGGGTTGTGAGCCGCCACGTGGGTGCTGGGAACCAAACCCGGATCCTCTGTTGCTCTTAACCACAGTCATGTCTGCACACACACATCCTCACCCATCCGTAATTAACTTTTTAAGGGAGAAAGGGCGTTCTAACTTCCTGAACTTGAACGTGTTTGGGTGTCCAGCCTTCTGTTTCCGTCCCGCTACAGCCTTACCCAGCCCATGTGACTCATTTACATTATCGGTCTGGCCCCTGAAGGCATCTGAACCTGCCGCCCCCAGAAGGCATCGGAGGCAAACTAACCTCCCTCCAAAATAAAAGCCCTGCTCCCGATCCAGCTGCCAACGACTGGAGACGCCGACTACACCTCTTGGGCTCTCAGAGCGCTGCTTGGGTTTAGCCTCACAGGAGGAAAGGGGTGCTCACCTGGGAAAGAGGCGGCGAGGAGCAGAGACGTGACCGCCCCACCCCAGCGCGCCAGTTTGGAAGCTGGTTCTGGAAGGAAACCGGGAGAGGCGGGCGAGGCCCGGAGCTGGAGGAGGAGGAGCAGCAGCCGGGAGGCGCGCGCTCTGGAGCCTCGGCCGGGTCCGGGTCTGCGGAGCGGCTGCACGCGAGCGAGCGCGGCACCGGGGGATCGCCCCGCTGCACCCCCGAGCCGGGGCGGGGCTCAGGTCGCTCGGGGGCGGCGTCGGTGTCCGCCCCCCACATCCGGGGGCCGGGCCGGGCTCTGGGGCTCGCGCCGCGCGGGTGAGTCAGGCCGGGTTTTCCCTCCGCCTCTGGGTCCAGGAGAAGAGTGTCGCCCAGCGCGTCCTCTGCCCGCCGATCCGGCTCCCGCGCCTGCCCGAAGAGCCTGCGAGGAGAAAGGTTCGAGACCGAGCTGGGGACTGCAGCGCGCCCTGAGATCCTCGGCGCCAGCATGGTAAGTGGGCAGGGCGGGTCGCCGAGGTCGTAGTCGGACCCCGGCTGGGGGGTGGCAGGATGCGGTGCGAGCCCCGGTGCCCTCCGCTCCCGCGCACGAGGCTGACCTGTACATGAGCGTTCCGCGGAGCATCGCCCGAGACCCCTGCGCCGCAGCTAGGAGGGGCTGGCGCCCTTGGCGCAGGAGTCTGACCTCGGCCTCCGCCCCCTGCAGCAGCTCCAGGCAGGCCCGGCAGACGGCGGGCGGGATGTGTGCACCCCGCCCCGCCCCCCTGGGTAGCTCTGGGGCCTCCCGCAGTTCTGGGATCTCTCGCTTCCTCCACTGACTTCCCGGGCGTAGTTCCACCGGGATGGCCAACCTGTCTTCTCTGCCGCCTTCCCGGGGACACCGCTCACCTGCCCTCGCCCTCAAGGTATCCTCCTTCCTGCCCCAGCCCCCTACCTTGTCTGGTCCTCAGCCAGGGACCTGCGGATAGGGGATGTCCCGAGGTCCGGGACTCTGTTCCCGTCCTGACCTCAGCCTTTGACAAAAGTGAGGACCGGGACCCCTGTCTCTATTCAGATGGGGGCCTGGGACATCCCCACCCCAGAGGTGCATATTGGTCATGACTGTCCTCGGGAGGGAGCAGAGGCGGGAGGCCCTCCTGGACCTGGTGATCAGCCTCCTCCCAGGCTCTCCCAAGCAGGGCTCCTCTGCCGACTGGCTGCGTGTGGGTGTGTATGTGCGAGACTGTGAATGAAAGCGACCAGCCAGCTCCCAACACCGCCTCTAGCAGTTTCCAGAGCTTAGCGTCTCTAAGCCAGCGCCACTTCCACTCTCTCTTCCTACCCTCTTCCCTCAGGGCGGGCTAGGAGAGATCCTGGGAGGGGGTGAAGTTCCATCCCACCCAGCCTATCCGTAGATGCCCTTGAGAGAAACAAGCATGGGGGCTGGGCAGGCTACACAGACAGCAGTGTATGCGGGTGGAAGGTGACCCCTAGCTGGGACAGCTGGGTGTAGTATCGAGGGCTTTACTGGGGGGATCCAGATTGGCCCTCGGAGTGGGATCTTAGACGAGTCGTTCTTCCTTTTAAGCCTCAGTTTCCTATCTGTAGATAGGATCCTTACTGCCCTGTCTGTCTCCACCGACTACTGTGGAGAGAGGATGTGACATTATGAAATAGAAGAGCTGAGAAACACTGAAAAAGCCCTGTGCGTTGAGCGAATCGGAATAATTCTGCCGAGGGGGCAGGGTATGCCAGCACCCCCACCACCTCTCAGGCTGTCCCCATTTTGGGAGTTGGGACATTCCAGTCTCATTCCTCTGGGGCAGCTGCAGACACACCCCTCAGAAGGGCTGATCCCCCCCAGCAGGTGGTGTGACCCTCCCCTGGGGCACGCTGATGGGACTAATGGCAGTGCAGACAGACAGTGCTCCTACCACACGGAGGCCGAGGTGCCCCAACTCAAAGGAAATGCAAGGAAAGCTGCGTCTTTGAAGCCAGGACACTTCCTCCCGTGCGGCTGAACATGACCTTGGTCACGCATGTCGTTTTACCCCCTGGTCTCCTTGTTTCCTCTAGCGAAGCAAAAAGTAAGGGTATTCACAGGTGTGTTTTGAAGAGGTACCCAGGGTCTGGTGCTGGGGTGCCCCCACTATATATCACTGTGTACCTCTATTTAGGGATTTCCGCTCTTCTGGCATTACATGGGGGCAGAGGCAGACAAGAATGAAGGGGCTTTGCTGTGGCCAGCTGGGTAATGGTGTGTATTCAGCCCCTTACAGAGCCCCGGGCATTAAGATAGACGCCCTACTGAGGCAACACAGCCCAGACACTTGGTGGAGACCACCCCCACACCCCCACTCCCCACCCCTGTTCTGCTGTGCTCTGCTCTGGTCCCCCAGAGGTTCTGAGGCACTTGCCAGCTCCCTCTCCTCCACCCCCACCAAATCACAGGCCACAGAGCCTACACAGCTGCCCTGGTCTGAGCAGGCAATCCCAAGGCTTCTAAGCAACGGGAAGAAGGAATGTGCGTGCTGGGGGAGGGGCAGAGGTAGGGTGGATTTTTCAGGAGGAGGGTTTGTCTCCAGACTAAGACCTGGGTGGCCTGGAGCCTCAGCCCCGCAGATGGAGCGGGCAGTGCAGTGTGAGATGGGTGGGTGGTGGGTGACCTTGCACAAACTGTGTTGTCCGCTGCTGGATACGCCTGTCCTCGAACACACGTCTCTCTGTGGACCCATCCTCTGACACTGCGTTCTGTATAAAGCTGTTTACATAGTGGGCGCCATAGAGTGTCAGTTTTTTTCTCTTGAGACTGGAAGTGAGTATCTGCACAGAGGAAGGTGAGGGTGCATGTGTTTGGGGTGAAGTGGGCATGTTTGGCAGTGCCCCCAAGCCCTGGGCACACAGGACTTAACAGATTCACAAAGCCCTTTCATTCCTGTTACCTCTCTGTCAGTTATCCTGATGGAGGTTAAGAGAGGCAAGGCAAGATGCAGGGACAGGCATCTAGGGTCCCCCCCCCCCAGGGAGAGAGAGAAGGCTGGGGACTGGTAACAGAACGTTTCGAATGCAGCCATGTCTCACAGGGTGGGCTTGTCAGGGCGAGGCAATGTTGAATGCGGAGGCAAGGTGACCCCCTTCTAGTTCTTTTGGTTGTGGGTGCCATCCTGAGTCCTGCTAGACATGTGGCAGCCCTGGCATTGGGATCCCATGCGTCCTTATACTGACCAGCTCTGTGCGTCTCCAGGAGCTTGCCTTTAAAAAGAGGGGTACTGGAGCCATAGCCTCCTTGAGTCTCTGCAAAGTGCTGTGTTGCTATAGTGGTCCCAGCTCCGGTTAGTCATTTAACCGTTGAATCTCTTGAATTTCCGTGGCTTGTGACACCCCTGGAAGAGTATGACTCTGTTCCTACAGGACTGGGCAGAGTGTCCAAGCTCAGACTTACACTCCACTTTGAGTGGTGTAAGACAGTTAATCAGGAGAGGGTCACAGCTTTTTTTTTTTTTTTCTGCCGAGAGTGCAATTGAGGGCTGTAGCGTGGGGTAGGGACAAGGCCTGCCCTCCCTCTACCAGAAAGAGCTTTGTCTTCCACAAACACAAAGCCTGGAAATGGTCGAGGATGGAGCCTCCTAAACCACCATTGTTTGGGGTGGGAGTGGGTGTCCCGGAAGCATATTGGGTGGGTGGTGGTGGGTACTTCCAGTTGCAGCCTGCCTGCCAGGCATCTGCTTGGCGTTGGGAGCAGCTGTGTGTGGGGGTGGGAGGCAGAAAAGGTGCCACTCACTGCCAGTTGTTTGCACTCACCGTATGCCAGGCAATGGGTGTGGCACAGGTACCAGTCTCCAGAGTGTTGGGCCCCAGAACACATGAGAGAGTCCATAAGCCTGGTCCCTTGGTGTGGAGTTGGAGTGTGTGACTAACTTAGCCTTGGGTGTTCAGTGTTGACCGTGGCTTCAGGCCAGGCCTGGACTAGGTGCCTGGTCACAGTATCTCACACCTTTTTTTTCAGCATCCCTAAGTGATAAACAGTGTCTGTCACTGACTTTCTCTGCTCCCAGGGAAGATAAGGCTCACAGAGGTTAGGCCTGGCTAAGGTCCTGGGGACATGGCTGGTGATGGCCAACGGCAGAACTCAGTGGCATTACAAAGCACCGACCGCTTCTTCCCTCTGCCTCCCATCATTGCCTAGATCTGAACACCTGTTCCGGAAACAGGAGCCATTGTTCCGCCCCTTAGGCCCTTCCTGTGTGTATCACCATCCTTCCTCCCCTTGGGCCCTTCCTGTTAGGATCCCTCCCACTGCATCCCCCCCCAGCCCCACCCACTCCAGATGTTTCCTTGGGGAGACCTCTGACCCTTTGAGGGAAGAGGGGCTTCCTCCAGTCCTGGTTCAGTGTGCTTGCTCTGCATGCCACAGATTTGGTGGAGAACCTGTCAGAAGTAAGCAGGGACATGGGTCAGACTGCCTGAGTCCACCCTCCCCCTTTGCTGGCCCAGTTCGAGGAGGAAGGCCCCCGTCGTTCTGCTTGAGGGTCTCCCTTGCCTGCCTTGCCTCTACACTGCCCACCAGACCCCGATCTGAAACCGTTCCTTTCGCTGTCCCAGTGGAAGCCCCGTTTTCTTTAGACTTAGTGTGACCCAGTGTTCAGTGTGCCCCTTTCTCTTGCTGGTCTGTGGATCCTATCCTGTTCACGCATATCTGCCTCTGATGGGCCTGGGCAAACTGGGGACTAACAGATGGCACGTGTCTGGTTTTAGAGCATCTGGGGACTTGGGTACTGAGTGCCCATCTGCCACTAACGGAGCCTTCTGATTCCCAGAGTCAGCTGCCGGTGCCCTGTTGAACCTTCATGGCCACAGCCTCCGGCCCTGCTGGCATTGCCATGGGCAGCGTGGGCAGCCTGTTGGAACGGCAGGACTTTTCCCCCGAAGAACTTCGGGCTGCACTGGCTGGGTCCCGGGGCCCCCGGCAGGCCGATGGGCTCCTCCGGAAAGGCCTGGGCCAACGTGAACTCTTCAGCTATCTGCATCTCCCCAAGAAAGACGGCAAGAGCAGTAAGCGAGCGCCTCGGAATGAGCCGGACTATGCCACCCTCTACTACCGCGAGCATCCTCGGGCTGGTGACTTCAGCAAGACTTCCCTGCCTGAGCGGGGTCGCTTTGACAAGGTGCACCTACCTCTATTGTGGGGGGAGGGGGGGTTGGGCCCAACTTGGAGACCCTGATGCTTGGGTGGTCAGCTGGGAGGCCCCGACGACAGGCTAGGGCAGGCTGAGGTGTGAGAAGTCTGCTCCATATGGGCCAGCCTGAAGTTTGACCACCGCCTCCCTGTGACACGTACCCTGTATTCTCAGAGGGGAATCCTGAGGACCTTCAGAAACCTCGAGGTAGGCAGAAAAAAGTGGCCAACCCGACTCATGCCTGCGTTCTTTTCCTGGCAGTGCCGAATTCGTCCGTCGGTGTTCAAGCCTCCTGTGGGCACTGGGAAAGGCTTCCTGTCCATGCAGAGCCTGGCA